GCTCTTCCGATCTCCCCAAAACCCCAAAACCCCATATGTTAAAAAATAGGGTTAGAACAGGTATATTATTAATGATAAATTAATCCTATTATAAAAATAGAAATCCAAAAAAAACAAGTTGTCTAACTTAGAGAATCGAGAAATTGTTATCATTTATATTTAAAGGACCCAGAACCGAGAACTGTATTTTCTGCCAGCATTTGATATCTTTTAAATTTACCGAATTGATAGATATAGCAGCCCATATATAAAGCTAGAATGACCGCCATTCCTAGATAAGAATATTAATAAGACTGCCTTAAAATTTCTAGAGCCTATCTTTCATTAATACCAATGACTTCACCTTAAGTTTTATGAATTTTTTTATGTTCTTGAACATAATCTGACTATGCTTTTTGAATAGAGATAAAGTTGAGACCAATTTAGATAACTACTAAGAGTGCGATTCCGAAAATAGTTATCATATTTCTGCTATATTACTCTGTTGTTCTCTCCTACATGAACTCTGACTTTCTTAATTTTGAAACACGTCTCTATATTTTTACTAATATTACTTAAGAGGAATCTATAAGTCTATAATTTGCTAAACCAATGTAAAATGTGAGCACGTTTGATATAATGCCAAACAAAATGCTTAAAATGTAGAGTGGATAGGATACTTCCATATTAATTTAGTATCCCTCGCTATCAAATGACTCAGAAATTAGCACTGTTTATCTCTGAATTGTAATTATCAAATATAGTTAATAGACTAGATAGAGGAAGGGAAAAATCATCAAAATGATCGATTGTATTTTTACACATCTCGCATTTGACTTTGTGTTTTCTACATACACATAAATTTATTGATCTACAAAGTCGTCAGAGAGATATAGTGGTTGTCCATCTGTGTCATCTTCTCCTTTCACCTTGACCATCTTCTTATTTTTAAGTTAATTTTTAAGTTTATTGTTCGATTTTTAGCTGTCAAAGTCCATATCATGTATCGATAACACTCTAGACTTTGGTGTGTCAGAAGTATTTTAACGATCTGAAGAAGCCTATTATCCAGGTGATTAAATGTCATCGAATTCTAAGTCTTCCCTATTATCTTCAGAAAATGGACCATCCATTTGACCCAGAAATCTTTTTTAAGAACTCTCTAATCCTAACTTGTGAGATCTTTCAAACTTATATGATTCATCTTCCATGTTCACTCTATCACTTTCATTTTTATCTGTTTAGCGCTCTTCATCTGATTCATTCATTTCAATGAGAAATTTCTATTTAAAATTAATAAATTTGATTTGAAACTTGAATTTATTAAAAAGCAAGTAATTCTTCAGTTGTGGGGTTTTGGGGTTTTGGGGTTTTGGGG